GCAACGGCTGAAGCCACAGCTGCCCTGGGCCTCACACACACACTGCTGCAACGGCTGAAGCCACAGCTGCCCTGGGCCTCTCACACACACACTGCTGCAACGGCTGAAGCCACAGCTGCCCTGGGCCTCTCACACACTGCTGCAACGGCTGAAGCCACAGCTGCCCTGGGCCTCTCACACACACTGCTGCAACGGCTGAAGCCACAGCTGCCCTGGGCCTCACACACACTGCTGCAACGGCTGAAGCCACAGCTGCCCTGGGCCTCTCACACACTGCTGCAACGGCTGAAGCCACAGCTGCCCTGGGCCTCTCACACACTGCTGCAACGGCTGAAGCCACAGCTGCCCTGGGCCTCTCACACACACAGCTGCAACGGCTGAAGCCACAGCTGCCCTGGGCCTCACACACACAGCTGCAACGGCTGAAGCCACAGCTGCCCTGGGCCTCTCACACACAGCTGCAACGGCTGAAGCCACAGCTGCCCTGGGCCTCTCACATACACAGCTGCAACGGCTGAAGCCACAGCTGCCCTGGGCCTCACACACACTGCTGCAACGGCTGAAGCCACAGCTGCCCTGGGCCTCTCACACACACTGCTGCAACGGCTGAAGCCACAGCTGCCCTGGGCCTCTCACACACACACTGCTGCAACGGCTGAAGCCACAGCTGCCCTGGGCCTCTCACACACACACTGCTGCAACGGCTGAAGCCACAGCTGCCCTGGGCCTCTCACACACACACTGCTGCAACGGCTGAAGCCACAGTTGCCCTGGGCCTCTCACACACACAGCTGCAACGGCTGAAGCCACAGCTGCCCTGGGCCTCTCACACACACAGCTGCAACGGCTGAAGCAACAGCTGCCCTGGGCCTCTCACACACACAGCTGCAACGGCTGAAGCCACAGCTGCCCTGGGCCTCACACACACAGCTGCAACGGCTGAAGCCACAGCTGCCCTGGGCCTCTCACACACACTGCTGCAACGGCTGAAGCCACAGCTGCCCTGGGCCTCTAACACACACTGCTGCAACGGCTGAAGCCACAGCTGCCCTGGGCCTTTCACACACACTGCTGCAACGGCTGAAGCCACAGCTGCCCTGGGCCTCTCACACACACTGCTGCAACGGCTGAAGCCACAGCTGCCCTGGGCCTTTCACACACACTGCTGCAACGGCTGAAGCCACAGCTGCCCTGGGCCTTTCACACACAAGGCGTACGGGACATATTGGGAAACTCTCAAGTAAAATTAAAAAATTACAATAACAAGTTTCTCTCTGGTCTGGTCTCCTCTCTCCCTCCTGCGTCTCTCTCCCTCTCTCCAGTCTCTCACTCTCATCTCCCTCCCTCTCTCCAGTCTCTCACTCTCATCTCCCTCCGTCTCTCCCCCACTACCTCCTGCGCTCTCTCCCTTCTCTCTTCCCCTTTTCTCTCTCTCCCTCTTCCCCCCTTCTCTCTCTCTCCAATATTAAACAAATACATTTTAAACAAATACATTTTCTACTAAAGAAACGGTAACCAAATATCTGTGCGAGAGAGAAACCCCCGCCTGTCTGTCTCTGTGTGTGAGAGAGAAACCCCCGCCTGCCTCTGTGCGGCAGATAAAGCCGAGTGTGATGTAATGGAACCAGATAAAACTGGACTTGGGACTGGAGCTCAGGGCTAAATCTCTCTGCGCTCTCCGTCCTATGAGCATCGCAGACGGAGAAAAACAACTCCAAATATGTTCAAAGGAAGACTTCAGCCGAGCGCGCACAAAGAACCGGCTCAACCTACATTCAGCCGCAGACCACCCCCCATGCCAGGCCAGCCTTTGGAAAGTGCTCAGGCCCAGAGATTATGAGAGAACACCCCCTGGAATCCTGCTTTAGTGTCATCTATACACACTTATGTACAGTAGGCCTGTGTTAAGAGATGAGCTGGTCTCTCTGGTCTCTCTCTCGCTGGTCTCTCTCTCTCGCTGGTCTCTCTCTCTCGCTGGTCTCTCTCTCTCGCTGGTCTCTCTCTCTCGCTGGTCTCTCTCTCTCGCTGGTCTCTCTCTCTCGCTGGTCTCTCTCTCTCGCTGGTCTCTCTCTCTCGCTGGTCTCTCTCTCTGGTCTGACTTACATATTGGATCGTCCATCTTCATGGTTCGTTGGATGCGGATGGAAGAAGGCAACGTGTTTTCTATCAGTTGATCGATGCTCTGAAAAATAAAGAAATACCAGGATTTTAATGCATCACAGAGAGAGACCAGAGAGAGAGAGACCAGAGAGAGAGAGACCAGAGAGAGTGACCAGAGAGTGAGACCAGAGAGAGAGAGACCAGAGAGAGAGACCAGAGAGAGAGAGACCAGCGAGAGAGAGACCAGCGAGAGAGAGAGACCAGAGAGAGACTAGAGAGAGAGAGACCAGAGAGAGAGAGACCAGCGAGAGAGACCAGCGAGAGAGAGACCAGCGAGAGAGAGACCAGAGAGAGAGAGACCAGAGAGAGAGAGACCAGAGAGAGAGAGAGACTAGAGAGAGACCAGAGAGTGAGAGACCAGAGAGAGACCAGATGAACAATGCTAATCCGCAAAACAGAACGAGTTAGAACTTGTTTTCAGGTTGTGTTGTGTCGTCTCAATAGTAACAGTTGCTTTTAGAAAGTACGGAGCAGAAAATACATTTATTTTGTTTTAAAGTTTCAAAAGGGTTAAAGCTGCCGTACGTAACTTTCAAAATCACAGCCATAAAATCTGTGTCACTGGTTTCTAGAAATATTAGAGACCAGAGAGGGCCAAAGAGAGAGTTCAGAGAGAAGAGAGACTAGAGAGAAAGAGATGAGAGAAATAGAGAGAGAGACCACAGAGAAATTTACCAGAGCGAGAGAGACCAGAGAGCGAGAGACCAAATTGAAAGAGACCACAGAGAGTCGAGAGAGAGTGACCAGGAAGAGCGAGAGTGAGAGGAGAGAGGCCAAAGAGCGAGAGAGACCAGAGCGTGAGAGAGACCAGAGAGCGAGAGACAGCGACCAGAGCATGAGAGAGACCAGACAGAGAGAGACCACAGAGACCAGAGTGTGAGAGAGACCAGAGAGAGAGAGACCACAGAGATAGACACCATGCAGAGATAATCCACCCTCTCTTTCTTCCAGAGAAGTCACAGTTTTTAACAGATGAATCTTGTGGGTTGTTCTCTACATTGTACTCTCTCCTTTTCAGACAAACGTGTATTTCTCCAAAGTTAAATCAAAGTTAAGTCCCTGAGCTTTAATCCCTCACACACCTCCAGCCCCAGCGCGTCCAGCATCTCTCTCTTCTCCCTCTCTCCGGGTCCGATGTGCCGCTCTGCGAAGTCGTCATGCCGGGGCAGGATCTCCTCTATCCGCCTGGAGCTCAGGGCGGAGGTGGTGCTCAGGGGCCGCTGCGGGAGCCTCCACAGCAGGGGTCGCGGGGTCCCGGGACAGAGGGCCCGGATGAGGCCCCAGGAGCGGACGCAGCGCTGCATGGTTCACGCACCGCGGGTTTAGTGGTAGGTGAGGGGGGTAGGCTCTCCGGGGTCGTCCCTGTTGATGTGACCAGAGCTGGGATCTGCACTGTGGATATATACGGCCCCCCGCGGGAAGAGAGGCCTCAGCCAATGGGAGCAGAGGAGGAGGGGGCTGAGGTCACGTGACTGAGAGAAAGCCACAACTTTGAGTCACTCATGATTTAAAACTAAAGCTGAGACACGTAACTTTGCTGCCTCATTATGTTGGCCAACAGTGAAGAGTGTTCTGTTGTTCAAGGAACATGTGGAAACAAACTTTAGAAAATATATGACAAGAATGAGCCCTGTGACTGCTCCCTCTGCTCCCTCTGGTCTCTCTCTCTGCTCTCTCTGGTCTCTCTCTCTCTGGTCTCCCTCTGGTGTCTCTCTGGTCTCCCTCTGGTCTCCCTCTGGTCTCCTTCTGGTCTCTCTCTGCTCTCTCTCTGATCTCTCTCTCTCTCTGCTCTCTCTCTGCTCTCTCTCTGATCTCTCTCTGATCTTTCTGCTCTCTCTTTGGTCTCTCTCTGCTCTCTCTCTGATCTCTCTCTGGTCTCTCTAAAAATTACCACTTAAAAAAAAAAGGTTGCCACTTATCAAACCATATTATGAGAGCGAGAGTCTGGGATAAATTATTGAGACACGGTGCCCTCTGGTGGCTACATCACTGCATTACATGTTAGAACCACTCTGTACAAGGGTGTTCAAACTTCATCAAACTGAAGGGACCAGAGGGAGACCAGAGAGGGAGACCAGGAAGAGAGACTATGGAGAGAGCGGAGAGAGACCAGACAGAGACCAGAGAGAGACCAGAGATGGACCATAGTGAGACCAGAGAGAGATCAGCATTAAGAGAGTTCTTTCTGGCCTCTCTCTCAAGTGACTTTGCGTTCTTTCTCGTTCTGGCGTCTCTATCTCTCTTTCGCTTCTCTCCTTGTCTCTATTGTCCCGCCCACCAGTTTCTTTCTCTCTCTGGTCTCTCTCTGGTCTCTCTCTGGTCTCTCTCTGGTCTCTCTCTGGTCTCTCTCTGGTCTCTCTCTGGTCTCCCTCTGGTCTCCCTCTGGTCTCTCTCTGGTCTCTCTCTGGTCTTCTTAGTCACACTTTGTAGTTTCTGAAAGTCACGACTCAAAGTTAATTTCGAACCGTAGCCAGAGTTTATTTCTGGATCTGTACAAGGTAATAAAGAACAACAGAAAATACAAAAACAAAAGTCAACAAATGAAAGTAAAAACAAAACAAAAAACAACCAATCGTGATGTTTCTGTACAATTCTTACAAAGAGGGTTTGGGGACACTTCGAGAGCTCTGATTGTCTACAGATCTGGATAGAACACGTTTTTTAGACTTTTTATTCACAAAAGTTTACGACGCAAATAAAGGACTTTCCCGTAGATTTCTATTTGAAAAACTCCAAAAAAAAAACACAATATAAAAGTTGTTTGGTGACGGTGCCGTCGATAGAATCACGTTTTTGAGAGATCACAAGAAAAGAGCGAAGGAGACGAGATTTAAATCTTTTTACAATCCACAGGCGAGATACGAGCGCGCCAACGAGACTGGGAGAGGCTGAAGGACGAGACTGGGAGAGGCTGAAGGACGAGACTGGGAGAGGCTGAAGGACGAGACTGGGAGAGGCTGAAGGACGAGACTGGGAGAGGCTGAAGGACGAGACTGGGAGAGACTGAAGGATGAGACTGGGAGAGACTGGGAGAGGCTGAAGGACAAGACTGGGAGAGGCTGAAGGACGAGACTGGGAGAGGCTAAAGGACGAGACTGGGAGAGGCTGAAGGACGAGACTGGGAGAGGCTGAAGGACGAGACTGGGAGAGGCTGAAGGACGAGACTGGGAGAGGCTAAAGAATGAGACTGGGAGAGGCTAAAGGACGAGACTGGGAGAGGCTAAAGGACGAGACTGGGAGAGGCTGAAGGATGAGACTGGGAGATTCTAAAGGACGAGACTGGGAGAGTCTAATGGACGAGACTGGGAGGAGGGAATCTCAGACATGGCCCGTGTCTTTGACCCAGTTGTGCTTGAGATTGAAGGTCTCGTGTGAAGTTTATGCGAGGCAGCCCAGGAATTTACAGGAACTGGAATGGTTTATTTTTGAGAAGAATGGAAAGATTTACTATTAGAGGATATCAGTCAGGGAGAGAGAGAGACCAGAGCGAGACCAGAGAGAGAGAGAACAGAGGGAGACTGGAGTATAGGAGAACCCACACAGACCTGACTCCTGACTTCATGTTAAACTCTCACTGATGGAGTTTAATTGAACACAAAGAAATGAAACAAATGAGAGAAACCCTGGTCCAGTGAGAGAGACCACGTAGTTTCATCATTTCTAAACTTAACTAGTTTAGTGCTGCTGCAGTTTAGAATCATTTATAGTGTCACATTTTTCAACATTTGTTTCAGAAATCTTTTAGACTAGAGACCAGAGAAAGACCAGAGAGAGTGAGAGACCAAAAAGAGACCAGAGAAAGCAGACTGGAGACGAGAGAGAGACCAGAGCGAGAGAGAGACCAGAGAGAGAGACCAGAGAGAAAGACCAGAGAGTGACCAGAGATGAGAGAGAGAGAGAAACCAGGCACAGACCAAACTAAATACTCTCCCAGTGTTTTAGCAGCGCCTCCTTCAGACAGAGGTGAGACTCTCCACAGTTTGGGGAAAAAAGCCAAAATAAAACTGATTTTTTTACACACCGCAAATCAAAAAAAACACATGGATTTCAACATGTTTTTATCATAATAATAATAATAATATTTCTTTTTTTCTCTCTCCGCGACGCAAGCTAGCATGCGTGACTCAAACAGCAACGCCCTCTCTTCTTTTTTATACAAAAATTTGAGGAAAAAACTCAAAACACGGAAAGTAAAGTTAATAACCAAAGGGGGAAGAAACGTCCCCAAAAAGATCTGTACAATATCTACAAATTATTGCCTTTTGCGGAGGAGCTAAAACTTTCGTATGGACACAATTCACAAGTGAAGGAGGTCAGATATAGACTTTGTAAACGCCGTTCGCTAATATGTACACGGAGCAACACAAACGTATGGAGGCAGACACACACACACAAACATGGCTGACACGTTGTACCCCTGAAAGCAAATAATGCATAGATAAATAATTAAGTAAACACCACTACTGCATTTGAACCACGTTAGAGAACCTGCCAGAAAAAACACAATTCACAAGAAAGAGGAAGAGGGAGGAGGGGGGAGGAGGAGGGAGGAGGAAGGAGGAGGGGGGGAGACGAAACCACGAGATGCTGCTACTTAAAATACATGGCGACCGATGAGAATTTACAAGGTTCTGGGAAAAAGGAAGAAGCTTAAATAATAAATACTGCGATAAGCGAGAGAGAGGGAGGAAGAGGGGGAGGGAGAGAGAGAGAAAAGGGAGAGAGAGAGGGGCGTGTGAGGTTTTAAGATGGAGGAAAGACTGAAGGGAGAGAGAAGAGAGAAGGGGAGACACGGGGGAGAATCAGTTGTACATGTCGTGTTCTGGGCCCGTCTAAAGCAGCTCCTGGGAGTTCACTTTTACAAACTATGAATTATTGTGAGACTTAAAAGAATCGTTGTGGCTTCACCAGGAGGATCCACTTTGGGTCAAAACAGCAGGATTTCAGGACTTTTTTTCTACTGGATTCAAGGTTTTACTGCCTTCGATCAGGTTTAACAGTGAGAGGGAGAGGAGGAGGAGAAGACGCCGCGCTCCCCTTGTACCAGTCTAACGCGCAGTACCGCTGCAGACCACAGGGGGCAGAGGAGCCTTTGGCAGCTGGAGGATGGCAGGATGAAGATGAAGACGTTGTGCTTAAATATGAGGAAGATTCACAAGTCTCCGCCACATGGACGACACCACAAACACTAAAACTTAAATGGCTGAAATATAAACTCTTGAAATCAAGATTCAGTTCTATATGGAGACATCACTGATGTCATAGTACACAAATGAAAAAGTATATTCATATACATATATATAGATATATATCATAGACTTTAAACAAGGAGCTTCTGTACAGCAGGGGGCAGCATCACTCAGACTGAAGCGCCGCGTGTGTCGTGTGGTGGCGTCCGTGTGCGCTCAGGAAGGGCTCGGCGCCGCTGAAGTCTGTGACGGAGACGGCCATTTTGGCTCCGGAGATTCTGTGGTGGGAGGGGCTCATGAAGGAGTCCATCTTCAGTCTCTTGGTCGGCCGCTCGCAGCCCAGCTCCGCGTGGTAGAAGCCCGCGTCCAGCATGTTCAGGCAGTCGGGGTCTCCGGAGCCGGGGCCAAAGCCCAAGGGCTCGTCATGGCTCAGGGGCCGGTGGAGGCTCTCCAGGGGCCCGCGATGGAGGCTCTCCAGGGGCCCACGATGGAGGCTCTCCAGGGGGAACGAGTATGAGTCCAGGCAGCCCACCTCCGCGGGGCTACAGACTGTGGCCACTGAGTTACTCAGCGCTGAAACACAGAGGGGCAGGCGTTAGAGAAGAACACCTTCTTATTCTAAAGTAACATTCTACAAGGGTCGGTCCTCGGCCCGATCCTCTTCACACACACTTTAGACACATGACATTAACTTCCACAGCTGCAGACACAGCTTCACTGTCGATGAAACCAAACCACAAAGATCCGTTTGAAAAGCTCGGAGCTGCATAAAGACCTAAAAACATGGACGACTTTTAAGTATCTGCTCCTCAACCCGGAGAAGACAGAAGTGATTCTACTCAGTCCCAAACGTGGCTCCTAGCAACACTGAGGAAATCTCTAAAATCAGGAATATCCTAAACATGATCAAGTAAAGCTAATCCACGCATTGGTCACCTAAAAGTTTGACTACTGTAGCGCCCCCTGCTGGCAGCGTGCCCTAACAAGCTTCCAGCTCGTTCAAAACACAGCAGCAGGGATTTTAACAGAACACATAACTCCAGTGTTAAAATCACTCCACTGGCTTCCTGTGGGGTATAGAATTTAAAATCCTTGTTCTAACATACAAACATAAATGGCATAGCTCCTCCTACTTCCAAGACACGCTAGTATCATACAAACCAAAACGCCAGACGTCTGATGGGTCCTAAAGAGTGAAAAAGTGTATTTAGCTACAAACTTGTCTCGTTAGGCTACAGGCTACTTCCAGGCCGTCTCGCGGCTAGCGTGTGGCGTGCCCGGTGTCTTGAAGGTGCTGGGGGGGGCGTGGTCACCTGTGAGGTCGCTGGCCGTGATGGAGTTGAGCAAACTGAGCTGTTGTTCGGTCGTGGCCTCCAGACGTCCTCCTCCAGAGCAGACGGACGACGAGCTGTCCACCGCCAACCCCTCTGCCTCGTCCACCAGCCGGTCCATCAGGTCCCTGCACCACACACACACACACACAGGTTAACACTGACAACCTCTGAAGCTAAGCAGGGCAGGGCCTGGTTAGTACTGTGATGGGAGACCTCTGGGAAAACACCAGGTGGGGCGGCTGCGGCTGTAAAGTGCCAAACTGTGGTTGTATCCTTCAGCAAGACACTTCCGCCACATTAGAATGAGTCTGGTGTGTGTGTGTGAATGGTTGGTGGTGGTGGGAGAGGCCGATGGCACAGACTGGTTGCCTCGCTTCTGTCAGTGTGCCCCAGGCAGCTGTGGCTACAGTAATCGTTTATCACCACTGTGTTTGGAGTGAGAGAAAAATGATGTGAAGAGACTGAGTGTAAAAAGCGCTGTATAAAACCACTAACAGGAGATATAGAAGACGACAAAGATCACACAATATTTGTCTTTCAAAAATGATAATAGATGTGTTGGAATGTGAAATAATATCTTCAGTTTTACAAAAAAAGGAGAAACAAGTATGAAAGGTAAAAATATGTTTCTGCCTGTAACTCTCTATGCTGCCACCAGAGGGAGGAGGAGGACTGTTTATGTTTTTATAGAAGCAGAATACGTCTATGGTTGTAAATCCGGGTGTCACTCACGTCACGCCCGGGTAGCTGCTGTACTTCTTTTTGCCGAACCGGTTTTGTTGCACGAAGAAGTCGAAGCGTTCCGACTTCTTCCACATGTAGTAGAAGGCCACGCACTCGGCCACGGTCCGACTCGGCACCTGCACAAAACAACGACTCATGGTTACCTCGGCTCAGGCATTATTATAGAGAGTACTCTTTCTGGTCTCTCTCACTACTGTCTCTCTCACGTCTCTCTCACTCTCTGGTCTCCCTCCCGCCCTCTCTCTGGTCTCTCTCCCGCCCTCTCTCTGGTCTCTCTCCCGCCCTCTCTCTGGTCTCTCTCTGGTCTCTCTCTGGTCTCCCTCCCGCTCTCTCTCTGGTCTCCCTCCCGCCCTCTCTCTGGTCTCTCTCCCGCCCTCTCTCTGGTCTCCCTCCCGCCCTCTCTCTGGTCTCCCTCCCGCCCTCTCTCTGGTCTCTCTCCCGCCCTCTCTCTGGTCTCTCTCCCGCCCTCTCTCTGGTCTCTCTCCCGCCCTCTCTCTGGTCTCTCTCTGGTCTCCCTCCCGCCCTCTCTCTGATCTCCCTCCCGCCCTCTATCTGGTCTCCCTCCCGCCCTCCTCTCTCTGGTCTCTCTCCCGCCCTCTCTCTGGCTCCTCTGCCTCTCGTCTCCCGCCCCCTCTCTCTGGTCTCTCTCCCGCCCTCTCTCTGGTCTCTCTCTGGCTCTCTCTGGTCTCTCTCCCGCCCTCTCTCTGATCTCCCTCCCTCCCGCCCTCTCTCTGGTCTCTCTCCCGCCCTCTCTCTGGTCTCCCTCCCGCCCTCTCTCTCTCTGGTCTCTCTCCCGCCCTCTCTCTCTCTGGTCTCTCTCCCGCCCTCTCTCTCTCTGGTCTCTCTCCCCCCCTCTCTCTGGTCTCTCTCCCGCCCTCTCTCTGGTCTCTCTCCCGCCCTCTCTCTGGTCTCTCTCCCGCCCTCTCTCTGGTCTCTCTCCCGCCCTCTCTCTGGTCTCTCTCCCGCCCTCTCTCTGGTCTCTCTCCCGCCCTCTCTCTGGTCTCTCTCCCGCCCTCTCTCTGGTCTCTCTCCCGCCCTCTCTCTGGTCTCTCTCCCGCCCTCTCTCTGGTCTCTCTCCCGCCCTCTCTCTGGTCTCTCTCCCGCCCTCTCTCTGGTCTCTCTCCCGCCCTCTCTCTGGTCTCTCTCCCGCCCTCTCTCTGGTCTCTCTCCCGCCCTCTCTCTGGTCTCTCTCCCGCCCTCTCTCTGGTCTCCCTCCCGCCCTCTCTCTGGTCTCCCTCCCGCCCTCTCTCTGGTCTCCCTCCCGCCCTCTCTCTCTCTGGTCTCCCTCCCGCCCTCTCTCTCTCTGGTCTCCCTCCCGCCCTCTCTCTCTCTGGTCTCCCTCCCGCCCTCTCTCTCTCTGGTCTCCCTCCCGCCCTCTCTCTCTCTGGTCTCCCTCCCGCCCCCTCTCTCTCTCTGGTCTCCCTCCCGCCCTCTCTCTGGTCTCTCTCTGGTCTCTCTCTGGTCTCCCTCCCGCCCTCTCTCTGGTCTCCCTCCCGCCCTCTCTCTGGTCTCTCTCCCGCCCTCTCTCTGGTCTCCCTCCTGCCCTCTCTCTGGTCTCTCTCCCGCCCCTCTCTCTCTGGTCTCTCTCCCGCCCTCTCTCTGGTCTCTCTCTGGTCTCCCTCCCGCCCTCTCTCTGGTCTCCCTCCCGCCCTCTCTCTGGTCTCTCTCCCGCCCTCTCTCTGGTCTCCCTCCTGCCCTCTCTCTGGTCTCTCTCCCGCCCTCTCTCTCTCTGGTCTCTCTCCCGCCCTCTCTCTGGTCTCTCTCCCGCCCTCTCTCTGGTCTCTCTCCCGCCCTCTCTCTGGTCTCTCTCCCGCCCTCTCTCTGGTCTCTCTCCCGCCCTCTCTCTGGTCTCTCTCCCGCCCTCTCTCTGGTCTCTCTCCCGCCCTCTCTCTGGTCTCTCTCCCGCCCTCTCTCTGGTCTCTCTCCCGCCCTCTCTCTGGTCTCTCTCCCGCCCTCTCTCTGGTCTCTCTCCCGCCCTCTCTCTGGTCTCTCTCCCGCCCTCTCTCTGGTCTCCCTCCCGCCCTCTCTCTGGTCTCCCTCCTGCCCTCTCTCTGGTCTCTCTCCAGACTACACTGGTCCCTGGTTTATCGCAGGGGTAATGTGTACTCTCTTACTTTGTGTTTCTGGATGAGGTGGAAGTTCTTGTCGTACATCTGTAGAGCGTGTTCGAAGTTCTTACACTCGTCTTCAGACCAGGGAGGAGATTTTTCTGGAACCACAAAACACACACACCGTCTGTTAGCATTAGCGTCAATAGCATTAGCTTCAATAGCAATAGCGTTGTTAGCATTAAAACCATAATGATGTCGTTACCTTTGGAGGACTTGAGCTGGCTGCAGTACCGCTCCAGTGCTTCCCTCGTGTTGTAGTTGCTCTTCACCAGTTCGTGCAAAGCCTTTGACAAAAAGTTCATCAAGTTAAAACAACTCTCTCTGGCCCCTTTATCCCTCTCCCTCTCAGGTCTTCCTCCCTCCTTCTCTCTGGCCTCTCCCTCTCCCTCCTGCCTCCCTCACTCTCTCTGGCCTCTCTCCCTCTCTGGCCTCTCTCCCTCTCTGGCCTCTCTCCCTCTCTGGCCTCTCTCCCTCTCTGGCCTCTCTCCCTCTCTGGCCTCTCTCCCTCTCTGGCCTCTCTCCCTCTCTGGCCTCTCTCCCTCTCTGGCCTCTCTCCCTCTCTGGCCTCTCTCCCTCTCTGGCCTCTCTCCCTCTCTCCCTCTCTGACCGCTCTCCCTCCTGCCTCCCTCACTCTCTCTGGCCTCTCTCCCTCTCTGACCGCTCTCCCTCCTGCCTCCCTCACTCTCTCTGGCCTCTCCCTCTGACCTCTCTGGCCTCCCTCACTCCCTCTCTGGCCTGCCTCCCTCCCCCTCTCTTACCTGCTCGTTGTCCCGCACGGTCACTCCTCGGTCACAGCTCAGTTTCTCGTCCGTCGCCCTCAGAGCTGCGTCCAACAGGAAACTCCGCACTTTGCTCTCGGACAGAGAACACGGGCTCCACATCAACTCGTCCTCCAGCTCGTACACTGAACACAGAGACACAGGAGTCGCGGGATGTTCCGGGTGAAGTCTGGTGTCTGGTGAGAAGTTACTTATTGTATACATTTTTAGTGGTAGGGGAAACCGGAGCACCCTGAGGAAACCTACGCAGGCACGGGGAAAGTAAACTCCTCTCGCTCAGTTTGTCACACTACTTATATTGTGATATTGTCTTTGAGCCACAAGGTTTGACCAGATGCCTTTATTAACGAGGGAAACTCCAGCTTGCCTTAGCAACGATGCTAGCAACACGTGTGCCCTTGTATAAAGCTAACGTTTTTGGAACAAATACCCATATTAGGACATTTGCTCCAGCTAGCTTATGTGCAAACCCGGCTAACACTACGGTGGCGTTTGTTCTTACCGTTCTCTCCGTCTTTGTAGTGACATAAGCAGGATGGCACGTCCGCCTGGTACTCGGAGCCCACCTGGATCTCCTGCACGACAAGAAAAACCATCGATGAGTCTCCTGGTATCGTTAACCAGAGGTCTCCAAACCAGCAGCTCCACACAGCATTTTAAACATGACATACACTCTTCATAGTTCCGTTTTCACAACTGCCCATGGAGATGTTCTGAACCACAGAGTAAAGTGGAGTCTTTGTTGTGGGTAGGTTGCTAGGATACGGTACCAGATATGAAACTGTATTTGAAAGATAACCAGTTAGGAGTAGAGTAGACTAGAGTAGGGCAGGGTAGGGTAGAGTAGAGTAGGGTAGAGTATAGTAGAGTAGAGCATAGTTGGGTAAGGTAGAGTCGGGTCGGGTAGAGTAGAGTAGGGGTAGAGTAGAGTACGGGTAGAGTAGAGTAGGGTAGAGTAGGGGTAGAGTAGAGTAGGGGTAGAGTAGAGTAGGGGTAGAGTAGAGTAGGGTAGAGTAGGGGTAGAGTAGAGTAGGGGTAGAGTAGAGTAGGGTAGAGTAGAGTAGAGCATAGTTGGGTAAGGTAGGGTAGGATAGAGTAGAGTAGAGTATGGTAGAGTGTAGAGTAGAGTATAGTAGGGTAGAGAAGAGTAGGGCTGGTGTTAACAGGGTTATAGCTGCCTCAGAGTAGCTCTGTGTGAACAGGTAGAGTCCCCTGCTCTGTGTTCTACTGTAAATAAAGAGCTTTGTACTTTTCTGGAATCTTCTGGACTCGGGCCGTCGTCGTCACAGTCCGACTCTTTGTCTCCGTCTGAAATGGCGTTCGCTGAAAGTCACAGAAATCTCATTAGTGAATTTGAATGTATTGAGTTTGAGTGTATACATGTGTATGTTTATGTGTAATCATAAGTGTGTGTATGTGTATTTGTAGGTATGATTGTGTACATGTAAGTATGTGTGTGTCTCTTACAGCGCAGCGTGCGGGGGAAGAAGTCTGTGGTCTCGTGTGACGTGACGGACGGAGTGAGGTCATCGGCCGAGGACTGGGTCTCCTCCTCGTAGTCTCCGGACAGAAGGTCTTTGGCGATTTCCTCCTGAGACACAAACACAAACAGAAGATGAGAAGAGCCACGAGACTGAGACTAACGCAGAGCCTGAGACCGAGACTGAGACCGAAGCAGAGACCGAAGCAGAGACTGAGGCAGAGACTGAGGCAGAGACTGAAGCAGAGACTGAGGCAGAAACTGAGGCAGAGACTGAAGCAGAGACTGAAGCAGAGACTGAGGCAGAGACTGAAGCAGAGACTGAAGCAGAGACTGAAGCAGAGACTGAAGCAGAGACTGAAGCAGAGACTGAGGCAGAGACTGAAGCAGAGACTGAAGCAGAGACTGAAGCAGAGACTGAGGCAGAGACTGAGGCAGAGACTGAAGCAGCAGAGACTGAGGCAGAGACTGAGGCAGAGACTGAAGCAGCAGAGACTGAAGCAGCAGAGACTGGAGCAGAGACTGGAGCAGAGACTGGAGCAGAGACTGAAGCAGAGACTGAAGCAGAGACTGAGGCAGAGACTGAAGCAGAGACTGAAGCAGAGACTGAAGCAGAGACTGAAGCAGAGACTGATGCAGAGACTGAAGCAGAGACTGAGGCAGAGACTGAAGCAGAGACTGAGGCAGAGACTGAAGCAGAGACTGAAGCAGAGACTGAGGCAGAGACTGAGGCAGAGACTGGGCAGAGACTGAGACTGAGCAGAGACTGAGGCAGAGACTGAGGCAGAGACTGAGGCAGAGACTGAGGCAGAGACTGAGGCAGAGACTGAGGCAGAGACTGAGGCAGAGACTGAGGCAGAGACTGAGGCAGAGACTGAGGCAGAGACTGAGGCAGAGACTGAGCAGAGACTGAAGCAGAGACTGAGCAGAGACTGAGGCAGAGACTGAGGCAGAGACTGAGGCAGAGACTAGAGCAGAGACTGAGGCAGAGACTGAGGCAGAGACTGGAGCAGAGACTGAGGCAGAGACTGAGGCAGAGACTGAAGCAGAGACTGAAGCAGAGACTGGAGCAGAGACTGAAGCAGAGACTGAAGCAGAGACTGAGGCAGAGACTGAGGCAGAGACTGAGGCAGAGACTGAGGCAGAGACTGAGGCAGAGACTGAAGCAGAGACTGAGGCAGAGACTGAGGCAGAGACTGAGGCAGAGACTGAAGCAGAGACTGAAGCAGAGACTGAGGCAGAGACTGAGGCAGAGACTGAGGCAGAGACTGAAGCAGAGACTGAGGCAGAGACTGAGGCAGAGACTGGAGCAGAGACTGGAGCAGAGACTGAGGCAGAGACTGAAGCAGAGACTGAAGCAGAGACTGGAGCAGAGACTGAAGCAGAGACTGAGGCAGAGACTGAGGCAGAGACTGAAGCAGAGACTGGAGCAGAGACTGAAGCAGAGGCTGGAGCAGAGACTGAAGCAGAGACTGAGGCAGAGACTGAAGCAGAGACTGAAGCAGAGACTGAAGCAGAGACTGAAGCAGAGACTGAGGCAGAGACTGAGGCAGAGACTGAGGCAGAGACTGAAGCAGAGACTGAAGCAGAGACTGAGGCAGAGACTGAGGCAGAGACTGAGGCAGAGACTGAGGCAGAGACTGAAGCAGAGACTGAAGCAGAGACTGAAGCAGAGACTGAGGCAGAGACTGAAGCAGAGACTGAGGCAGAGACTGAAGCAGAGACTGGAGCAGAGACTGAAGCAGAGACTGAGGCAGAGACTGAAGCAGAGACTGGAGCAGAGACTGAAGCAGAGACTGGAGCAGAGACTGGAGCAGAGACTGAAGCAGAGACTGAAGCAGAGACTGAAGCAGAGACTGAAGCAGAGACTGAGGCAGAGACTGAAGCAGAGACTGAGGCAGAGACTGAGGCAGAGACTGAGGCAGAGACTGAGGCAGAGACTGAGGCAGAGACTGAGGCAGAGCCTGAGGCAGAGACTGAAGCAGAGACTGAAGCAGAGACTGAGGCAGAGACTGAGGCAGAGACTGAAGCAGAGACTGAGGCAGAGACTGAAGCAGAGACTGAGGCAGAGACTGAGGCAGAGACTGGAGCAGAGACTGAAGCAGAGACTGAAGCAGAGACTGAGGCAGAAACTGAGGCAGAGACTGAAGCAGAGACTGAAGCAGAGACTGAGGCAGAGACTGAGGCAGAGACTGAAGCAGAGACTGAGGCAGAGACTGAGGCAGAGACTGAAGCAGAGACTGAAGCAGAGACTGAAGCAGAGACTGGAGCAGAGACTGAGGCAGAGACTGAGGCAGAGACTGAAGCAGAGACTGAGGCAGAGACTGAAGCAGAGACTGAAGCAGAGACTGAGGCAGAGACTGAGGCAGAGACTGAGGCAGAGACTGAGGCAGAGACTGAGGCAGAGACTGAAGCAGAGACTGAAGCAGAGACTGAAGCAGAGACTGAGGCAGAGACTGAAGCAGAGACTGAGGCAGAGACTGAGGCAGAGACTGAGGCAGAGACTGAAGCAGAGACTGAGGCAGAGACTGAGGCAGAGACTGAGGCAGAGACTGAGGCAGAGACTGAAGCAGAGACTGAGGACGAGACAGAGGCCGTACAACTCTCTAGAATATTAAACTACATTCTAGGGCTACATTTTCTAATTGCAGCACCCGCTGTTAGCTCACTCACTGCTGTTAGCTCAACGCTATTAGCTTAACGCTACGGAGCTAAGCTAATAGCGGAGCTTCCCCTGGAGCTCCGTACTTTTGGTTATTTACAGCTCAACAAATCACCAAAAAGACAATAAAGGATCAGATTTCTCGCTTCAAATGCTGTCTAAAGTAACATTTGTGCCATATTTATTGTGTTATTGATCAGAACTATCACCTCAGACGTGTTTCTGTTGATCCCTGTTCACTATAACAGCCTTAATCTTTCTCATTGTTTAAAAAAATTGACTCATTCAAACACTACAAAGCATACGCTGCATTATAATATTTTTCACTCATATAATAAGAGTGATACCAAGCTGCGAAAAGCTCCTATGTCTGAGTTTTCCAGCATTGCCCATTCTATTTAATAGGAGAAAAATACTTCCTGTCCTACGGACACATGCCCCGCCCCCTTTTGGTTACGTGGTTGAAACCCAGCAATGCTGCTTGGAAGTTAAAGTTTTATAATGTTCTGTATAGTTGCAGTTTTGCACAATACATTTAAATAAGTAACAATCTTTATTATTGCATTCAAGAACCTGCTAGACCTATATCGAAATTCACACACCAAATTATACCGCAGTATGAATGTTAGGCCGTATCGCCCAGCCCTACTACATTCTCAAAGGTTCTGTCTCAGTCCTTAACACACTGGTCCCTGGTTTATGACAGGGGTGACCCACAAATAACCCACAATAAGGAGCATGAGAAGTACCCTGAAAAAAAGCATGTATTAAAATCGGCAGAACAGCGAGGCCGCAATGTAGCGAGCGACCACTATGACGTCACACTATGACGTCACACTATGACGTCACACTATGACATCACACTATGACATCACACTATGACATCACACTATGACATCACACTATGACATCACACTATGACAGTTTTCTGCCTTTACACCAAAAGTATTGCCCCAGAGGCCGCTGCTTGAGCCGACATGGGGGTTGTTGTGGTCGGAGGAGAGTTACCTTGTCCAGAGTCATGTCCGGCAGCTCGTCGGTCAGGTCTCCAGAGGAACTGTCCACACTGGAGCCGGCGGACGCGTCACACCGATACATGGCCAGGAGCTCGTCCAGAGGCATGTTCCCCTCCTGAAGACACACACTACAGTCAGGAACTACCGCTACAGATCAGACTAACGTGCTCCCTACTGCAGAGAATAGGAACTCAGCAGGAAATACCGTCATATCTGGACTATGTTAATGTCCTGTATCGTATTTGTAAATTGAAGTTTGTCTTTAGGCCGATGAAAATTAGCTTAATTTAGCTAACCACAGCATATTTACATTATGTAGTGTTGATTAATGTGCACTGTCCCGTTTCAAATAAATAAAATGATGAACTATAAGCCGCTGCTTTTTCTAGTTCTTTTCTGATTCTTTGTTCCTTCTGTCAACAGATCTCTCATCTCTCTTATTACTATTGTTAATGACTTAGAATTATGCGTTTGTTTTTGTATGGACGATACATTTCTTATTTCTTTAACAGGTATCAATAAATCTGTCATCCCTACGGCTTATACAGTGATGCGGCTAATATGTGTATTTAATCGTCATGGAAGCTAACGGTAAATGAGTCATGGAAGCTAACGGTAAATGAGTCATTTAAGCTAACGGTAAATGAGCCACGGAAGCTAACGGTAAATGAGTCATGGAAGCTAACGGTAAATGAGCCATCGAAGCTAACGGTAAATGAGCCATGGAAGCTAACGGTGAATGAGCCACGGAAGCTAACGGTAAATGAGCCACGGAAGCTAACGGTAAATGAGTCACGGAAGCTAACGGTGAATGAGCCACGGAATCTAACGGTAAATGAGCCATGGAAGTTAACGGTGATCGAGTCATGGAAGCTAACGGTGATCGAGTCATGGAAGCTAACGGTAAATGAGTCATGGAAGCTAACGGTAAATGAGCCATGGAAGCTAGAATAATGACCTCAACAATACAGTTACATAACAGACTCCGAAGTTTACCTTCTCGAGGTCGGCGAGCTCCGAGCTGATGTTGCTGCCCTCCTGTGACTCCTCCTCCTCCAAAGTTCTCTCATCGTCGTACTCATGGACTAGCATTTCTGCAGTCGGATCAAAGTCATGGTCTTCTGACGATAAAGAGCCAACTGAGACACACAAGAAGATATGGTTAGAGAAGAGTTTAAAGATCACTTACAACGACAAAACAACAATCCGTGGTCTGCGTTTGAGGTCTAAGGAACTGTCTGTAGACCTTTAGGACCAGGCCATGAGGTCTAAGAAACTGTAGACTTTTAAGACCAGGCCATGAGGTCCAAGGCAATGTCTGTAGACCTTTAGGACCAGGCCATGAGGTCTAAGAAACTGTAGACCTTTAAGACCAGGCCATGAGGTCCAAGGCAATGTCTGTAGACCTTTAAGACCAGGCCATGAGGTCCAAGGCAATGTCTGTAGACCTTTAAGACCAGGCCATGAGGTCTGAGGAACAAGTGGGCTGGAGTCTGGTTGGTGTATCTAGGCTTAAAAACTTAAAAACCAGTCAATGCCAATCTCTTGATAATCGGATCTTGGGATTCATCAAAGTTGCATCACCCAAAAAAAAATGTTCTGGGCCGTTAAGAGCTTCAGAATGAGTTATGACATCAACATATGGATTTACATATGGTGGAGCTGAAGTCGCCTGAATAATGATTTCCAATGTTCTCACTCTATCACTCTAGAGGTTCTGCAGATTTAAAATGAGGTCTAACATGTCTGTGTGGGCGGAGCTGGACTTTGGAAGACTCTTACCTGGACTTGAACTCCCGAGGGAAGCCTGCAAGAGAAACACACAAACACGATTAGATTCAGATTCAGCTTTTTTGCTATTTGCAGTAAAACCACATTGGAATACATGAACAAGAGTCCCCAGTGTGCAGCAGACAAGTACGTCACTAAAACAAGCTAAAAATGTACAAGAAACAATCCTCACTGTGAAATTAACTAAAAAAATCATAATTACAGGTGACGAACATTAAAGTGCTTTGTGCTGCCAGAGGGAAGAAGCTGGAACATGGCTTTTTCCAGGGCCAGAAGAGTCAGCGAATATTCTAAGAGCTCAATTAGGGACCGATCTTGAAAATCCAATTGTAAACATTTAAATCTTTTTGTTTTCCCCTAAACCAAGGCTCAAGCTACAATGATCAAACCGCTAAAAACATGAATCAGAATTATTTGTATTGCCTTTGGAAGTAAACTAGGAATTTGCTTTGACTTGGTATAAAAGTAACAATAGATATGAATTAGAAGGCAAGTGTCAAAACATCTATTTACAACCACATTGAACCACGATTATAGCCACTGTTTTCTCTGTGAAATCATTTGAAAGGGATTTTTGCTTTTCAAACCGAGATTAAAAAGTAACCAGTAGAACCTGTTGGCAAAACTGGCAAACTCTCATTGCTGTGGCATGCTGCATTTCAAGAGAAAGAAAATAAAAAATGCACTATGGACTGGTGAGGATCGAGGCAATCTATTTACATTTACACTGAATACATTTCTACTAAAACGATGGAGTCTAGCCTGGTCTTACCATTGTACTCATTTCATTTCGTACTGAGGTCTGGATTTGCTCCATTGAGCAGGTGGGAGGGGTTAACTCCTTTTGCAGATTGAAACGATTTTATCTGAGTTTACCGTGACGTATGTAATGAGCCCGAGTGAGTGAGGCATTTAGTATTTAGCATTTAGCATTTAGCCTGCAACCAGCAAATTTGGCACAAACTCTATACACCACCGACACCAACCTACAACACCCGCCTCCCCCGCTCTCTGATTGATCGGACCAGAGTTTACGGATGGATAAGACCAGGCTAGATTCAAACTAATAAGTCCATAAAAAGCTTTGACAACAGCACATAAAAATAATTATGTCTCAGCAACTTCCTCTTTGTCTCCCTACTGTTCACATAAACACCAGGAAAGAGGAATGGTTTGTAGTCTACTGGTAGCTATCGAGCCACAGATTGGAGACTCCTGCTTTTATGCCTTGTTCAGACCGGATCATGCTGCAAAGACAATGGTGACGCGTGTTTGAGCGCTGAACTGCATGTGGGTCTCGGAATGCACGCATGGACTGCTCTGTAGAGACGCACTGACTGCTCTGTAGAGACGCACGGACTGCTCCGTAAAAAGGCACGGACTGCTCGGTAGAGACGCACGGACTGCTCGGTAGAGACGCACGGACTGCTCGGTAGAGACGCACGGACTGCTCGGTAGAGACGCACGGACTGCTCGGTAGAGACGCACGGACTGCTCGGTAGAGACGCACGGACTGCTCGGTAGAGACGCACGGACTGCTCGGTAGAGACGCACGGACTGCTCTGTAGAGACGCACGGACTGCTCGGTAGAGACGCACGGACTGCTCGGTAGAGACGCACGGACTGCTCGGTAGAGACGCACGGACTGCTCGGTAGAGACGAACGGACTTCAGTAGAGACGCACGGACTGCTTGAGACGCACGGACTGCGCGGCAAAGGTGCAGGAGCGGAAACGCACGCAGGAGATAAATATTGCTGAGCGTTTCCTCGGGACGCTCGTGCAGCAACTAATCAGAGAGCCGCAAAGTGGTCACGGGGACATTAGTGGTCTGAGCGAGCAGACTGAACATACTGTAAACAGCCAAAATAGGAGCTATACCAGGACTAAACCAGGACTAAACCAGGGTTGATAATGGGGGACTCTGTGCATGTGAACATACGCGGTCTCATGCTCTCGTGACTGTATACAACTGCTTCGAGCGTGTTCGCAAATGCGGAAGTACCGTTTAATAATAAAATAAACTTATGGCGCACCATAAGAACACATACTGCTGTTATATAAAGTTACCGTGAACACATACTACTGTTATATATCCTGAATTTCTCCTATGGGGGATCAATAAAGTATTTATCTATCTATCTATCTATCAAGTCTCAGTAAGAACTTTACACGAAAAGCCGCTAGCTCAACTGAACACCCCTGCGTCTGAAATTAGCAGCTGAAGCTGCGTTTTAGCGTCCGCGGTCTGAACGTGCCATAAGTCCAAGCAAACTTTACTCAAAACTGGAGCACAAAAACAACCAACTGTACAACATAGCAGTTGGTTGTACAGTTGGTAGCACATATTGTTAAAGCATTTTCTTATTGTTGAAATGTTTAAACCATTTTAATTTTCACTTGTATTAGTTTTTTGAATTCCTAATAACCCAATGCAGTACTCGTATCGATATTTGGTATCAGCACGGTTTTGAAAAAAGAGGTATTGTGCGTCCCTAAATATAGTTGCTTCTAAAGTGTAACACGTTTTAACATAAGATAAAAAAACAATACAATTTTTTAGAACAAAATGAAGGAATTGCATCAACGAGACAAAACCAGTCAAAACAATATATCAAATCCATGAACAGTTCATTAGCAACAACAGCATTAGACAAATATCAGAAAGCTTTACAATCAACCTGTTCCAAAGTCGTTATTTTGAAAAGTAAAATATTGTAGGGCCATACAAATAAAGTCCCTTATTGAGCAAATTCTGTCAAATACTGCCGTCAATAAAAACATATTGAAGATTGCAGCAGAAGGAATGAAAACTTTTAAACAAATTTTCAAACTTGCAATTTTTTTAAAATAACTATATAGATATGCAATTGTTCGTAACCCTCGCAACCTCTGCGTATTTCTGTCTTCTACACATCTTTAAAAATGTAACAGCTTTATCAGACAAAAATGAGAAAAACAGAGGACCAACCTCACTCAGCCAATAAGCTCTTAGCGTCAAAGAGCGACTCCCAGGGCTCTATTTACACAACTACGCAAAAGCTAACGTGAGGATGAGGTCTGACAAGGCCATAACAGTGTTCTATAACCACAACAGTTGTTTATGTTACGATAAACACCACAGTAGTTGTAAACCAAAGTATTTCAGTAGTTCAGCTTTAAATGGCTGGGTTTTCCCACCAAAACAGACTCCCTCTGGTCTCTCTCTCTCTAGTCTCCCTGAGCTCTCACTCTAGTCTCCCTGAGCTCTCACTCTAGTCTCCCCCAGCTCTCTCTCTAGTCTCCCTCAGCTCTCACTCTAGTCTAACTCAGCTCTCTCTTTCGTCTCACTCAGCCCTCTCTCAGCTCTGTCTGCTCTCTCCCTCTCTGCTCTCTCCGCTCTCTCCCTCTCTGCTCTCTCCCTCTCTGCTCTCTCCCTCTCCGCTCTCTCCCTCTCTGCTCTCTCCCTCTCTGCTCTCTCCCTCTCTGCTCTCTCCCTCTCCGCTCTCTCCCTCTCTGCTCTCTCCCTCTCGTCTCTCTCTGCTCTCTCCCTCTCTGCTCTCTCCCTCTCGTCTCTCTCTGCTCTCTCCCTCTCTGCTCTCTCCCTCTCGTCTCTCTCTGCTCTCTCCGCTCTCTCCCTCTCTGCTCTCTCTGCTCTCTCCGCTCTCTGCTCTCTCCGCTCTCTGCTCTCTCTGCCCTCTCCGCTCTCTCTGCCCTCTCCGCTCTCTCCGCTCTCTCCCTCTCTGCTCTCTCCCTCTCTGCTCTCTCCCTCTCAGCTCTCTCCCTCTCTGCTCTCTCCCTCTCGTCTCTCTCTCTGCTCTCTCCCTCTCTGCTCTCTCCCTCTCGTCTCTCTCTGCTCTCTCCCTCTCTGCTCTCTCCCTCTCGTCTCTCTCTGCTCTCTCCGCTCTCTCCCTCTCTGCTCTCTCTGCTCTCTCCGCTCTCTGCTCTCTCTGCCCTCTCCGCTCTCTCTGCCCTCTCCGCTCTCTCCGCTCTCTCCCTCTCTGCTCTCTCCCTCTCAGCTCTCTCCCTCTCTGCTCTCTCCCTCTCTGCTCTCTCCCTCTCTGCTCTCTCCCTCTCTGCTCTCTCCCTCTCTGCTCTCTCCCTCTCTGCTCTCTCCCTCTCTGCTCTCTCCCTCTCGTCTCTCTCTGCTCTCTCCCTCTCTGCTCTCTCCCTCTCGTCTCTCTCTGCTCTCTCCCTCTCTGCTCTCTCCCTCTCGTCTCTCTCTGCTCTCTCCCTCTCTGCTCTCTCCCTCTCGTCTCTCTCTGCTCTCTCCGCTCTCTCCCTCTCTGCTCTCTCTGCTCTCTCCGCTCTCTGCTCTCTCTGCCCTCTCCGCTCTCTCTGCCCTCTCCGCTCTCTCCGCTCTCTCCCTCTCTGCTCTCTCCCTCTCTGCTCTCTCCCTCTCTGCTCTCTCCCTCTCTGCTCTCTCCCTCTCTGCTCTCTCTCCTCTCTGCTCTCTCCCTCTCTGCTCTCTCCCTCTCTGCTCTCTCCCTCTCTGCTCTCTCCCTCTCTGCTCTCTCCCTCTCAGCTCACAGTATCCTCTAACCACAACAATCTATCTGTAAAGATAAACACCACAGCAGTTGTAGAGCAAAGTAATTCAGGCACCCTAGCTTTAAATGGCTTGGTTTTCCCACCAAAACAGACGCAGCGCTCACGACACTCACTGCTGCCTAGAGATTGACATTTAAGAACCCGCCAGCCTCTAAAAAAAAACACAATAAGGCCACATTTATCTCAGCAAAACGTCTCGTATCTTGTCATTCTTTACGTTGGAGATTCAACATTGAGACTGGAGATCTGCGCTCACGTCTGCCGAGCTTTTCCCACTGAAACCACAGCAAAGCCAACACAAACACTATTTTCTCCCTTTCCACGCCTTTACATTCGACACACAGCACAGCACAGCTCACAGACTCGTCCAACAACACCACAGTGACAAGAAAACGTTAAAATATCTGTTAAATTCGCCTGTTATGCGTTCTCCCCGCTCTCATTTACGTCTCATTTACACCGCGGCTCCGCTCCTTCCAGCGGCCTGCTCGTAGAGGCTCCGACCCGGCCTCTTCAAACCTACTTTCCCGTCCCAAAACGCGACATCGAGCCTCGGTTCAAGCACGTATGCGTAGAGAAAGATGTTATAAATCCAATCGATGGCGTAGAATGTGCGGTAAACGAAGCGAAATGTGTGAAATGTCGTGTTGAATGCGGTGAGTTCTCCCCTGTTTTCCTTCTTACCTCCGCCATATTGGAAGTACCTTCAGATGGCTCCAGCCCGAGTACCCGGATGTGAGCGAGTCGTGACCGTACGTGACGCGGTTCAAACTGGCCACTGGTGGACGACGTACGCACTGCACGCGGAGCCTCTATGGCAGGGGCCCTTGGAGCAATAATAATGTGCAGGGGCCTCCAAATTCTACCTTTAACTCCCACAGCCGTCATTTTGACTGCGTCCTTATTTTGAACGCAAAATTCAAATTTAGCCTTTTTTTGAGAATCTCTAGTCTCTCTCTAGCCTGGCCTTAGCCATCCGTACACTCCGCTCAATCATCATTTCACTGCATGTTACGTCTGGGTCTAGTCCCTGTGTTAGCGATTACAATCGGTTGAATTTTGACCGACCATTCAGAGAGCGCGGAAGGCAGGTGTTGTAGAGTTGTGGGTGATGTCAAGAGTTTGCGTCAAACAGGCAGGTTGTAGTTTGGTAATGTAAAAAAATGTGATAGTAAAGTAATCCGGTCTGGTTCTATCAAGAAATTGAAGCCGGAGCAAGGGTAATGTTTAGCAAATGTAATAATCGCTGGAAAAAATTGTGGCGCTACTTCCCACGGGCTACGTTAGCGGCAAAGGAGATGGCTAGGCTAAATGCTAACAACAGACTCGGGCGCATTACATACGTCACGTTAAACTCAGATCCAATCGTTTCAATCTGCAAAAGGAGTTAACCCCTCCCACCTGTTACTGAAGCTCAATGGAGCGCCTCCAGACCTTAGTACGAAATGAAATTTGTACTAAGGTGTGGTACGACCAGGCTAGTCTCTCTGGTCTCTTTCTAGTCTCTGTCTGGTTTTTCTGGTCACTTTCTGGTCTCTCTCTAGTCTCCCTCTGGTCTTCTCTCTCTGGTTTCTCTCTGGTCTCTCTCTGGTCTCTTTCTGGTCTCTGTCTGGTCTCTCTCTGGTCTCTCTCTCTAGTCTTTCTCTGGTCTCTCTCTGGTTTCTGGTCTCTCTCTGGTCTGTCTAGTCTCTCTCTGGTCTCTCTCTGGTCTCTCTCTGGTCTCTCTTTGGTCTCTCTTTGGTCTCTCTCTCTCTGGTCTCTCTCTGGTCTCTCTTTGGTCTCTCTTTGGTCTCTCTTTGGTCTCTCTCTCTCTGGTCTCTCTTTGGTCTCTCTCTCTCTGGTCTCTCTCTTTGGTTTCTCTCTCTCTTGTCTCTCTTTGGTCTCTCTCTCTCTGGTCTCTCTTTGGTCTCTCTCTCTCTGGTCTCTCTCTTTGGTCTCTCTCTCTCTGGTCTCTCTCTTTGGTCTCTCTCTGGTCTCTCTCTCTCTGGTCTCTCTCTGGTCTCTCTTTGGTCTCTCTCTGGTCTCTCTCTGGTCTCTCTTTGGTCTCTCTCTCTCTGGTCTCTCTCTTTGGTCTCTCTCTGGTCTCTCTCTCTCTCTGGTCTCTCTCTGGTCTCTCTTTGGTCTCTCTCTCTCTGGTCTCTCTCTTTGGTCTCTCTCTCTCTGGTCTCTCTTTGGTCTCTCTCTCTCTGGTCTCTCTCTTTGGTTTCTCTCTCTCTTGTCTCTCTTTGGTCTCTCTCTCTGTGGTCTCTCTTTGGTCTCTCTCTCTCTGGTCTCTCTCTTTGGTCTCTCTCTCTCTGGTCTCTCTCTTTGGTCTCTCTTTGGTCTCTCTCTGGTCTCTCTCTCTCTGGTCTCTCTCTGGTCTCTCTTTGGTCTCTCTCTCTCTGGTCTCTCTCTTTGGTCTCTCTCTCTCTGGTCTCTCTTTGGTCTCTCTCTCTCTGGTCTCTCTCTTTGGTTTCTCTCTCTCTTGTCTCTCTTTGGTCTCTCTCTCTCTGGTCTCTCTTTGGTCTCTCTCTCTCTGGTCTCTCTTTTGTCTCTATCTTATCATCTGTTTGTCATTTGTTGAATGTTTGAATGTCTGAATAAAATAATCTGAATCTGAATCTGGTCTCTCTCTCTCTTTGGTCTCTCTGCTCTCTCTCTGGTCTCTCTCTCTGCTCTCTCTCTGGTCTCTCTCTCTTTGGTCTCTCTCTGGTCTCTCTTTTGTCTCTCTCTCTTTGGTCTCTCTGCTCTCTCTCTCTGGTCTCTCTCTCTGCTCTCTCTCTGGTCTCTCTCTCTTTGGTCTCTCTCTGGTCTCTCTCTCTGGTCTCTCTTTTGTCTCTAGACCAGCTTTAGACCTGCTTTAGACCGGCTTTAGTCCTGCTTTAGACCTGCTTTAGTCCTGCTTTAGACCTGCTTTAGTCCTGCTTTAGACCTGCTTTAGACCTGCTTTAGTCCTGCTTTAGACCTGCTTTAGACCTGCTTTAGTCATGCTTTAGTCCTGCTTTAGACCTGCTTTAGTCCTGCTTTAGACCTGCTTTAGACCTGCTTTAGTCATGCTTTAGACCTGCTTTAGACCCGCTTTAAAACAAATGTTTTATGCAAAATAGATATTTTTGTTTAAATGTAAATAAGAATAACAAAGAAGAAGTAGAATCATTTCTCATCAAATATCTACTCAGGTGAGCGACGTTTAAAACAAATGTTTTAACCAGGCTAGTCTCTCTGGTCTCTTTCTAGTCTCTGTCTGGTCTTTCTGGTCACTCTCTGGTCTCTCTCTAGTCTCCCTCTGGTCTTCTCTCTCTGGTTTCTCTCTGGTTTCTCTCTGGTCTCTCTCTGGTCTATTTCTGGTCTCTTTCTGGTCTCTCTCTGGTCTCTCTCTCTAGTCTTTCTCTGGTCTCTCTCTGGTTTCTGGTCTCTCTCTTGTCTGTTTCTCTCTGGTCTGTCTAGTCTCTCTCTGGTCCCTCTTTGGTCTCTCTCTTGTCTCTCTCCGGTCTCTCTCTCTGGTCTCTCTCTGGTCTCTCTTTGGTCTCTCTCTCTCTCTGGTCTCTCTCTCTCTGGTCTCTCTTTAGTCTCTCTCTCTAAGGTCTCTCTTTGGTCTCTCTCTGGTCTCTCTTTGGTCTCTCTCTGGTCTCTCTCTCTCTAGTCTCTCTTTGGTCTCTCTCTCTCTGGTCTCTCTCTTTGGTCTCTCTCTCTCTTGTCTCTCTTTGGTCTCTCTCTCTCTGGTCTCTCTTGGTATCTCTCTCTCTGGTCTCTCTCTTGGTCTCTCTCTGGTCTCTCTCTTTGGTCTCTCTCTGGTCTCTCTCTCTCTGGTCTCTCTTTTGTCTCTCTCTGGTCTCTCTCTCTTTGGTCTCTCTGCTCTCTCTCTCTGGTCTCTCTCTCTGCTCTCTCTCTGGTCTCTCTCTCTTTGGTCTCTCTCTGGTCTCTCTCTCTGGTCTCTCTCTGGTCTCTCTCTCTGGTCTCTCTTTTGTCTCTCTCTGGTCTCTCTTTTGTCTCTAGACCAGCTTTAGACCTGCTTTAGACCTGCTTTAGTCCTGCTTTAGACCTGCTTTAGTCCTGCTTTAGACCTGCTTTAGACCTGCTTTAGTCCTGCTTTAGACCTGCTTTAGACCTGCTTTAGTCATGCTTTAGTCCTGCTTTAGACCTGCTTTAGTCATGCTTTAGACCTGCTTTAGACCCGCTTTAAAACAAATGTTTTATGCAAAATAGATATTTTTGTTTAAATGTAAATAAGAATAACAAAGAAGAAGTAGAATCATTTCATATCAAATATCTACTCAGGTGAGCGACGTTTAGACCTGCTCTAGTCCTGCTTTAGTCCTGCCTTAGTCCTGCCTTAGTCCTGCTTTAATCCTAGTTTAGTACCGGTTTAGTCCTGCTTTAGTCCTGCCTTAGTCCTGCTTTAGTCCTAGTTTAGTACTGGTTTAGTCCTGCTTTAGTCGTGCTTTGGTCCTAGTTTAGTCCTGCTTTAGTCCTGGGTTAGACCTTCTTCAGTCCTGGTTTTGTCCTGGTTTAGACCTGTCTTAGTCCTGATTTAGTCCTGTCTAGTACTGGTTTAGACCTGGTTTAGTCGTGGTTTGTCATGCTTTAGTCCTGCTTTAGACCTGCTCTAGACCTGCTTTAGAACTGCTTTAATCCTGTATTAGTCCTGATTCAATCTGGGGTCAGTCCTGGTTCTGTCCTGCTTTAGTCCTTGTTCAGTCCTGGTTCTGGCCCAGTCTGGTCCTGGATCAGGCCCAGTCTGGTTATGCCCCAGGCCTGGTCTGGTCCTGGTTCAGTCCTCACTCTTCTCTTGTTTCAGGACCATGAAGCAGACGTTGCTGGTGTCTTTGCTGCTGAGTGAGTTTCATTTGTCTCTTATGTTGTGTGCGTCACTCAATAATGATAATAATAATAATTAAAGCCGCAAGCGGCGATGAAAGCCCTTGCCGTTCTTGCAGCCGCCTCCAGGGCGCCAATGCCATAAGCGTCATGCAGTGAACTCACCGATGAATTTGCAGAAAAAGTTCATTAATAGGATTCAGTGCGCCCCTAGTGGTCACCTGTGGGACATGCACCCTCTGTGTAGTATTTTGCTCGTTCGGATGTAAAGAATCAACTGTGCGACTTTGGAGAGGATCGGAAAAGTTTAGGTCTGGAGCCTCCCATAGGTGGCGCTCTAGAGTCAAATTAGTTGTGTATTTTCCATGGATCTATAATAATTACTATCTTACAGCTGTCCCACCCATGGACACAGGGGGCGCTGTGGTACTGCAGACTAAATTCTTGTGGGCTACCCAGAAAAAAGTCCCATAGAACTCAATGTAAACTAAAACAGCTCGACCTCAGCTGACAGAGAACCCGACAGAGAACCTGACAGACCTGACCCTTGTCATCCTGAACTTTTTTTCTTCTTAAATCCTTTTGTTTTCTTTAAATCCACACTTTACTGCCAGAAACTCTTCTCCTTTCCTTCAGGCTCTGACTCCGCTCTGACTCTGATCAGCTCTGATTGGTCAGAGCGCGGCCGAGCCCCTCTGTGCACGTGCATGAGAGCCACACACGCGTATTTGGCGTAATGCATCATGGGAGATACTCCACTGCGCAGAACCGGGAGGACCAGACGATGCCCAAATATAGGTGAGTTTGGTTCCTGTGAAGTCCAATGTGCAACTGGTATTGGTATTTTCCAAGCCCCGGCGATCCAAGATGGCGCCGTTTTCAAATGAATGGTTTGTGCTCAGTGGTGCTTTGTGCCGGCACGGTCGCTGACACATTTGCGGAACTCGCCTGGAACTCGCAAAGATCCATGGGAAACTCCCCTATACAGTATTTGGGCATCGTCTGGTCCTCCCGGTTCTGCACAGTAGACAAACTCCCATGATGCTTTGCGCGAAATACGCGTGTGTGGGTCTCTATGCACACACACAGAGGAGCTCGGCCGCGCTCTGACCAATCAGAGCTGTTCATAAGAGCGGGAGCCAGACGGGCAGAGTTTGTGGCAGTAAAGTGTGGATTTAAGGGACAACTCACCCTCAAATAGTGTTGTCTACATATCCTGGTCATAATATTGTCACTTTGGTGCAAATTAGTCTAAAACTAAAACCGTCTGTGAGGCGCCATCTGCTGGCGACCTGTATTACTACATTTGAATTTTGAATCTGGCGCCAACACTGGCGCAGCAGTTGTTTCTGACGTCTGAGGTTGTTTCTGACGTCTGAGGTTGTTTCTGACGTCTGAGGTTGTTTCTGACGTCTGAGGTTGTACCTGACGTCTGAGGTTGTACCTGACGTCTGAGGTTGTACCTGACGTCTGAGGTTGTACCTGACGTCAGCAGCCCGCCGCCCTGAGGTATGTAACCGGCCCAGTCTCGTTCACGCCCTCGTATGAGTTGGAGAAGGAATAGCAGAGAGTATTTTCATCGAGTGTCAGGTTTGCAATTAGTTATAGCATTTAGGGAGATTATTATTAGCATAGCTGTTTGTATTATAGATAGTTGTGTAGTGTTAATAGCGTTGTTGTTGAATATTGGAGTTTTAGTCATTATTCGCTTTTATTGTTAGATTATGTGCTGAGTTTAGCTTAAGACTTGTGTTAGTCTTACTAGTGTTCTATATCGTGTGCAATTTCATTGTATATTGTTTATTGTACTTGTGTACAATAAATACTACTTTATGTTTGAGCGTGTGTTAAATTACTGTCTCTTTTGTGCACATTGGGGATCATTTTCCTTGGGGACAAGGAGGTGCAGTGGCCGCAGGTCATTGTGGCAGAGTTTAGAATTGTATAACTATATGACCCCCACAACATATACTTTATCTTGGTCTGGGTTCATACATAAAATGTACAGACAGAACTGTCAAGAACAGAACCGCAACATAATCGGTTACTTTAAGGGAATATGGGAAGGCAGTTCGTACTTTTTATACCACTCTAATCGAAACGGGCCTCATTCTGTGGCGGTCTGCTGCCTCCGCTGCCTCTGAGACAGGTTAGTTTTACCCTATACTGATGATGTGTTGTAATCCTGCTCTGCTGCAGAGGCAGCTCTACTAGTGGCGCTAGCTCGTTAGCCGCTAACTCTATTAGCGGCGCTAGCTCGTTAGCCGCTAACTCTACTAGTGACGCTAGCTCGTTAGCCGCTAACTCTACTAGTGACGCTAGCTCGTTAGCCGCTAACTCTACTAGCGGTGCTAGCTCGTTAGCCGCTAGCGGTGCTAACTCGCGAGCTAGCGGCTCAAATAGACCCCGTGCACTAGAAAATGCTAACTTCCGGGTTTGAGACCGGATGTACGTTCGCGCATTTCCGGTTGCGTTTGTTTGCTGCTAAGGATGGACTCCAAGAAACCCAGGATTTGTAACAGAAACGATGGCTTTACTTTTCAAAAAGCGCACGGTAGTAATAGACAACACTGTTGCGTGCCCTTGTGCACTGCTTCAGGCAGATTTAACAAACTGCTCAGTTTTCACAGCTTCCCGAAAGACCCGGATTTGCGTGCTCAATGGCTGGTGAAAATCAGAAGGGAAGGCTTCACTGTTCAGACGAGCTCAAGAGTGTGTAGTCGGCATTTTGAGACTGGAGAAATCTTCGTAGCTAAGTCAGGGAAACGGTTCCTTCAGCCGAAGTCAGTTCCATGTTTATTCCACTGGAATAATTATTTGAAAAAGACCCAGCGACCCGGAGTTTGGGAGCGCCGTCCACGTGTTTCCCAGACCGCGGTCGCAGCTGCAGAGGATGATGTCAACGCCAATGTGGACATAGTGACGGACGATGAGCCCTCCTCTGGTTGTATTGAGCTGGCTCCAGACTCTACCCCCATCATTGAGGACCACGACTATGCTGCAAGTTCATTCATTGTGGTGGACCGTATGAAATATGAAAACATGACGAGGGAGATTGAGGAGCTCAGGCAGCAGCTAGAGTCGCATCATTTGACTCATAGATTTGGACTGCAGCGGTTTGCCTCATCACCTGAAGACATTCGGTACTACACAAGGTAAGAAGATTATGTGCACGTGTGTTAAGAATGTATATGTATAATGTATTCTCAGATTAACAGTTAAATGTGTGGATTGATTGATATTTGTGTTATTGAGCGTGGCTAGCTCCGTTAGCTTCTCTGCAGACAGTAGTGACGTAGCCCGTTGTGACAAAGTGTACGAACTACTGTCAGAGTAATCTTATCCTAAATTACAAGCAGAGACTGTGTTGCCAAATGGCAGCGGCCATTCTTGGTTTGCGAGGTCCTTTTTAAATAATAATTGGTAGAACGTTATTAAAATTACATTCAAATCAATGGAACGTTCTACTGCTGCTGTGAGAAACTGTATCATAAATTATGATTAAATATTTGAATACATTTTAAATTTTTAATTGATAAACAAACGCGAACTTAGAATATGTTTGTGCAAAAGTCAAAGCCCTATAGGTCACTACATCATTACAACAAGATCCAAGAATTTATTTTACTTGCCATTTGCCGTAAAACCACATTATATGCTTGTTAAGGTTTTCTACTTTTAATCCATAGCCCTTAGCACATAATTATGTATGTTAAGAATATTCATTTTACTCATATTCCCATTAAATGGGCCTATAGACTCTTGTGCAGTCAAGAAAAACTAATAACATCAACTTTTTACATGCAGATTTCCATCATACGGACATTTGATGGCCTTTTGGAATCTAATCAAAGAGGCAACAAGCAGAATGGTGAGGGTCACTAGTGGTCAGAAGAACCTTTCCGACAGCACATCCACCGAGACTCCTGTGACTCGAACAACTGTAAGTTCTCCCTAAAACTTCCTTCTCTATTGCTCTTGTTGTTTGTGCAGGTGCTACCTGTTTTCCTGCTTTCTGTCTCTCTTTCAGTTTTTTAATTATTTAATCAAATTCACTCACTAAATATCCACAATTTCTACACTACATCACACTGATTATTGTAATCCCCTTAGTTTGTGTATTGTAACTTTATTGTCATCTATTAATTTATGTTTATTTTTTGTTTTCCAGAAATTACTGCCAATTGACGAGTTATTCTTGTTCCTCAATTATCTGGCTACTGGATGTACACAAAGGGACCTGAGTCATAAATTTAATATCCACAGAGCTACAGTGAGTAGGATAATTGTGACATGGTCCAACTTTTTGTACAGTTTGCTTGGATCCATCTCCATCTGGATGACAGCTGAGAAAGTGAGCGCAACCTGCCCCACAGATTTTAATGGGACTTATAGAAACACGCAAGTAATTCTGGACTGTACTGAAATGAGGTGCCAAACACCCTCCTCCCTTCTGCTCCAGAGTGAGGTGTTTTCTACGTACAAGTCACACTGTACATTCAAGGCCCTTATTGGCATGTCCCCCCATGGAGCGTTGACATTTGTGTCAGCACTGTTTGAAGGCTCCATCAGCGACAAGGAGATTTTCCGTCACTCTGGCATTGCCTCCCTCCTAACACCAGAGATGGAGATTATGGTGGATAAAGGGTTTCTGGTTGAGGAGCTTGTGTCCGGGAAAGTCCATCGCCCAGCCTTTTTGTCCAAACAGGCTCAAATGTCTGAGGTGGATGTCCTTAGTACCCAGTCCATTGCACGTCTGAGGGTCCACGTAGAGAGGCTCATTAGGAGGGTTAAAGAGAACAAACTGTTTGACACTGTCATTCCTCTATCCATTTCAGGCAGTATCAACCAAATTTTCACTGTAGCATGTCTCCTGACAAATTATCAATACGGACCCCTGGTGAAAAAATGGATGGTTGATTAAAATGACAATTTAACAATAATACGACCCATTATTTTCATGTTTATTGTAATCAAAATGTAAATCTGTTTAATGTTAGGTATGGTGAAGTGTTCAGACTAGTTGTTTACCTTAATGTCTAATCTTTGTGTACTAATCAAATTTTTTTTTGTATTTGTTGAGCAATGAGATTGAGTTCAAAGAAATACCAGCAGTGCCTTGTGTTTGAAATCTAGCATTGTTTTAAAAGAATAATTTTTTCTGTATTGTATGTTAATATGAATATTTGCATCCTACATTTGACAGGGCAGTGACACCCTGATATGTATGCTATTAAAGTATGTTAAATATAATTTCTTCTGACATCTATGCTTTTTGCTTTCAGAATTGCAGTGAAAGTCTTTAGCATCTTTACACAATCTATTGCTGTCTGCATATAACACAAAACTGTAGACAATGCTGTTATAGTAGGACCGCTGTATTTGTAAAGCAACAGCAAATCACTTCCAATTTTTATACATGTTTATTTAAAAATGAAAAGGTGAGCTCCAAACAATTACAATAAAATGTATTCATGTATAGCCCTAAATCACAGTCATCTCAGAGACTTAACAAAACCATTAAACAAGTCAGAATCAACAATATAAAAAACACATTTAGGACAGTGCTATGTATTTGTCCATGTACACATGAAAATAGAACATGTCTATCTTTCGCTTCATGGTCTCCATCACACTCTCATCTCTTTGTATTCTTTGTATGAACACATCTTCTTGAGTGGAGACAACAAAATCGCACCAACTCATTCCTTGCAGCTGGCCCTGAACTTGCCAATAGTAGGCATGTGTGGATTTAAGCTGCAGAGTCCCACTGATGTTTTTAAGGTAAGGTGCGTCGACATAATTTTTTATGTTGGGACATTTTATTTCTAATAGGCCAAATTGAGGTATCTCTAAGGGGTCAAAAATGACTCCATCTGGTGATGCACCAATCCATGGTGCATCTGGGTGCACCAGGTGATAGTAATTGGGGTGTGTTTTGTTTGTTGGTGATGATGGGGTGGGAGAAAAGTGTATTATAGGTAGAAGATTAAAGGTATTTGGGGGTGGAAGATTATTATTGAGTGTTGATATAATAGATTATATGTGATTGTTATTTATAGGGTAAGATGTTTGGGGTGGAGGGTGTTGTGGGGTGATGTGGTGTGAGTGAGGGTGTTTTTTATTGAAGTATGGTTTAGAGAATAGAGTTAATAATGTAGGTAGGGTTAAATTAAGTGGTAAACTAGGGGTTAAATGGGTATTAGTTAAATTTGTGTAGGGGGGTTAAGATTAGGTGAGGGTTAATGGAGTATGTGTATAATAAGTGATTTAAATGTAGTAGTTAATTGGATTAGGTTAAATTAGTATTAAATGTATAGGTTTAATTAGTAGGTTAATTATTTTTTTAGGTTTAATTAGTAGGTTAATTTGAGGTTGAATGTAGTAGGTTAAATTATTGGGGTGGTTGAATTAGTAGGGTGGATTTAGTGAGGGTGTGAATGTATAGGGTGTAAATTATAGGGTTGAATTAGTTGGTGATATTTAGTAGGTGTAAATTAGTTGGTGGATGGAGGTGGATAAATTAGTGGAGGTTAAGGTATAGGTTAATTAGTAGGTTAAAATTAGGTATTGAATTAGTAGGTTGAAGTAGTGAGGGTTTATATTAGTAGTAAATTAGTAGGTTAATTAGTGGAGGGTGTGAATTAGTGAGGGGTTTAATTAGAATGTAATAATTGATTAGGTTATTTGAATGAGATAGATGGTGTAGATTTGATTTATAAGGTATTGGGTGAGATGATAATTTTTAATTTAATTTGATGTTTTGGTTTTAGAGTATTGAGTTATATTGGGTTTTTTTTTGGGGTGGTATTATAGAGTTGGTATTATTAGGTTTGGGTATTATAGTTGTATATTTTGGGGTTTATTATGAGGTTTGTTTTATTTGTTGGGGTATTTTATTGTTGGGTTTTATTTGGTGGGTTTTTTTTTGGTTGGGTATTATATTGTTGGGTTTTTTTTGGGGTTGGTATTAATTTAGTGTTGGGGATGGTTTATAGTTGGGTTTTTTTTGTGGTATTAATGTTTGTTGTTTAGTTTGTTTGGGTTTTATTAGTTGGGATTATTGTAGGTTGGTTGTTGTGGTTGGTTTTTTATTGTGTTTTTTTGGTGGGGTTGTTGGTGTTGTTTTTTTGGTGGGTTTATTTTGGTTGGGTTGTTATTTTGGGTTTTTTTGTTGTTGGGTTTTGTTTGGTTGGTTAGTTGTGGTGGGTTTTTTTGTTAGGGTGGGTTTTTTTTGGTTGGGTATGGTTTTAGGTTGGGTATGGTGGGTGGGGGGTTGTTGTTTGTGTTTGTTTTGTTGGAGTGTTTTTGGTGGGGGTTTGGTGTGGTTGTTTTTGTTGGTTTGGTTGGTTGTTTTGTTGGGTGTTGTTGGGGGGGAGTTTGGTGGTAGGTGTTGGGGTTGTATTTGTGGGGGGTTGGGTTTGGGTGGTTGTATTTGTTGGGTTTGTTTTTGGTGTGTTTGTTGTGAGTTTGGTATTATGTAGGTTTGGGTATTTTTATATGGGTGGTTTTTGTTGGTGGGTTTGGGTGGTTGTGTTTTGTGGGGTGTATGAGTGGTGGTTTTTTTTGTTTGTGTTGGTGGTGTGTGGTGGTTTGGTGGGGGTATGTTTTGGTGGGGAGTTGTTGGGGTGGTGGGGTGGGGGTGTGTTTGGTGTTTATTTTTGGTTTATGGTGGGGGTAAGGTGTGGGTGTTGGAGTTTGGGGGGTTGGGTGTGAGGGGTTGTGGGGTTGGGGGTGTTTTTTGTTTTTTGTTTTTAGGTTGGGTATGTTTATTGTTGTTGGTTTTTGGGGGGTATTTTTTGGTGGGTGTTTTGGGTTGGTGGGTGTGGGATTTTTTTGTTGGTTTGTTTAGTTGGGTTTGGGATTTAGTTGGTTTGTTTTATTGGGGTTTTTGGGTGGTTGGGGTTGTTTTAGGGTGGGGTGTATTAGTTGGGTATGTATGTTGTTTTGTGATGTGGGTGTTTGGTGTTGGTAGTTTTGGAGGGGGGTTTTTTGGTGTGGTTGTGGGTGGGGTTGAGGGTGTTGGTTGTTTGGTTGGGGTGTGGTTTTTAGGGTGGATTTTTGGTTGTTGGGTTTGTTTTTTGGTTGGTTTGGGTGTTTGGGTTGTTTGTGGTTGGGTATGTGGAGTGGTTTGTTTGGGGGGTGTTGGGGGTTTTTTTGGTTGGTTTTTTTGGAGGTGTGGGGTGTTGGGTTGGGGTGGTGTGTGGTGGGTTGTGTGTGGGGGGGTGGTGTTTTGGTGGGGGTGTGGTGGAGGGGGTTTGGTTGGGTGGTTGTGGTGTTGATGTTGTGGGGGGTTATGTATAGTAGTGGGGGGTGGTTTTTGTTGGGTTGGTTATTGGTGGGTTTTTTGTTGGGGTTTTGGTGGGGGTTGTTTTAGGTTGGGTAGTATATAGTTGTATTTTTGTTGGGGTATTGTTGTTTTTGTTGGTAGGTATTTTGTTGGGTATTATTTGTTTGGTATTATTGTTGGTATGGTATAGTTTGGTTATTAATTAGGTGGGTTGTATTTGGTTGGGTATAAGGTAGTGGGGATTAGTTGTATGTTAGTATAGGTATGGGGTTGGTTTGTAGGTTTGGGTTTTTATTAGTGTGGGGTATTATTGTTGGTTTTAGTATGTTGGGGGTTGGGGGTAAAAGGAGTGGGATGGTGTGGTTATGTTGTGGTAGGATTTTTGGGATTGGGTGAGATATGGTGTTTGTGTTTGGGGGGTGGTGGTGGTGTTTTGGTTGTTTTTTGGGTGGGGTTTTGGTGGGGGTGGGGGGGGGTTTGTGGGGATTGTGGTGGTGGGTGTAGAGTTGAGGAGGGTAGTTTAGTTTTTGTTATATTTGTTTGGTTGTTTGTTTGGGTGTGTGAGGTTTGTGGGGGTTTTTGTTGGTGTTGGTTTATTAAGGTTGTGGTTTGTTATGTGATGTTGGGTGGATATGATTTATTGTTGGGTAGAGTTGGAGGTAGTATATTGTGATGAGTTGGAGATGGTTGATGGGTTTTGGAGGTTGATTTTAGTGTTGTGGTTGGTATGGGAAAGAAGTAATGGGGTTGGGTTTATTGAAATGATATGGAAGAATGTGGATTATTTAAAGAAAGGGTTGAGGGATTTTGTTGGGTGGAATTGTTAGTTGTGTAAATAGTTGAGAAGAAGATAGATAAGAGGGGGTGGAAATTGGATTGAAATTGAGAGGGAGATTTAATGGGGAATGTAAGTTTAAAAATTTGGAAGGTGGAAGTTAAAGTGTGGAGAATTTTGGATTATTTTGGAGATGGGGTTTGTATTTTGTTGATTTGGATAGGGATATTGGTAGGGGAGAGTTGTTTTGTTGTGGGGTTGTGTTATTGGTAGGGGATGTTTGGGGGGAATATGGTTTTTTGGATTTGGTGTTATTGGGGATTTTGGGGTTGTGATGGGTGGAATATTGGGGTATATATGTGTTTGTGGTAGTTTTTGGGGTTATTTGGGTTTAGTATTTTTTGGTGTTTTAGGTGATATATTGTGTTATATGGTATTTGTGAGATTATGTGTTTGTATAGTGTTATTGGTGGATTATGTGATTTAGGTGGATTTAGGTGATATTGGTGATATTATGGTGGATTTATGGTGTTTTAGATATTTTATTTTATTAGAAGTATTTGTATGGATAGGGATTGATATTGGTGTTAGGTTTTTTTTTTTTAGTTTGTGTGGGTGTTTAGGAGTGGTTTAATTGTTTAATTTTTATTTTTATTTTATTTTATAGTTATTTGTATTTGGTTTTGTTTAATTTGTTTTTGTTTTTATTAATTTTTATTTATAATTTTTTAAGTTTGATTTTTAATTGTAATTTTTTTAATTTGTTATTTTATTTTTTTTTGTTAATTGTTTAATTTGGGTGTTTTTTTGGTTGTGTTTTAATGTTGTTGTATTGGGGTTTGTTTAAGTTGTATTTTTTGTTGATTGGGTTTTTTGGGTTGTGTGTTTATTGTTTAATTTTTTTGAAGGTTTTAAAGTTTTTGTAATTTGTATTGTGTTATGTGTTGTTTTGTTATTTTTATTTTTGGTTAATTGTTTAAATTGTTTTAGTTGTTTAATTTGATTGTTTGTTTAGGTGGTTGTTGATTTTAATTTGTTAAAGTTTGTTTTTTGTGGGGTTAGTGGGTGGTGTTGGGATGGAGTAGTTGTGTGTTGGTTGGATGGTGTTTGTGTGTTGTGTTTAGATGTGGGGTTGGTGTGGGTGTGGGTTGTGGTTTGAGTGTGTTGGTTGTTGGAGTTTGTGTGGTGTGTTTGTAGGTGGGTTTGGTGTGTGTTGGTGGGTAGTGGGTTGGTTAGTTGTGGGTTGTGGGGGGTTTGATGTGTTTTTGTGTGGTTTTTGGGTGTGTAGTGGTTTTGGTTTGGTTGGGAATGGTTTTGTGTGTTGTTTGTTTTGTGGAAGGGTGGGGTGTGGTGGTGTGAGGTGTTGGGAGGGTTGTTTGGTTGTGTTGGTGTTTGTGGATGGGAGGTTTGTGTGGGTTTGGTTGGAGTTTGTGTGTGTTGGGGGATTGTGGTTGGGTGTTTTTTTGGTTGAGGGGGGTTTGGGTGGTGGTAGAGGTTGTTGTTGTTGATTTTTTTTGTTTATTTGGTGGTTGTGGGGGGTTTTGTGTGTTGGTGTGTTGTTGTGGTTGGTGGGGTTTGGGGTTGGAGTTGGGTTTGTTGTATTGGGTTTGGTTTGGGGTTTGTTTGTTGTGTGTTTGTGGTGTTGTGTAGGGTTTTTTGGGTATTTTGTTATATGATATTTTTTTTGTTTTTTGTGTTTTGTTTTATGTGTTGTGTGTGGGAATTTTATAGGGGTTAGGGGAATTGGTTGGGGGTGGAGGGGTGTTGTTGGTTGTTTTGGGAGGTGTAAGGGGGTTGTTTTGTTGTGTGTTGTTGGGTGGTTTTTTGTGTTTGGGTTGGGTTGGGTGGGTGTGTTGGTGGGTTGTGTTGGGTTAGGGTTTTTGGGGGTTTTTGGTGGTGGTTTGTGGTTGGTTGGGTTGTATTTGTTTTTTGTTGTGGGGGTTTTTGTTGTTGGGGTTGTGTGTGTTGTTTTTTTGGTGTTTTGTTTGAATGTTGGGTTTGTTTTTTTTTGTTGTTTTTTTTGTTGTGTGGTTTTTGGTTGGGTTTTTTTGTGTGTAATATTTTGGTTGGAGGGTTGGGGGGTGTGGGGTTGGAGTTGGGGGGTTGTTTTTGGGTGTGGGTTTGGTGTTTGGTTGTGGTTTTTTGGGTTTGTTTTATTGTTTGGTTTGGTGTTGTGTTTTTGGGGTTATGTTTAGGGGGGTTGTTTGGGTTTTTTGTTTGTTTTGGTTTTGTGGTGTATTTTGGTTTATTGTATGGTTGTTTGGTGTGTTTGTAATGGGGTTTTTGGTGTTTTTTGTATGTGTGTGTTGTTTGTGGTATTGTGTAATGTTTGTATGTTTTTGTGATGTTATGGGTTATGGTGTTTGAGGAGTGGGTTTGTTGGGATATGTTTGGGATTTAGGATGGGGGTGGGGTGTTTGTGTATTTGTTGTTTGAGTATGTTTTGTTTTGTTTTGGTAGTAGGTGTTATTTGGGGGATGGTTTGTGTTGTATGGGTATATGGTTTTTTTTTGTGGTGTATTTATTGGTATTGTTTAAGTTGTATGGTTTTGGTTGTTTTGGTATTTTGTGTAATGTGTTAGGTTTTGTGTGTAATGGTATAGGTTTAATTAGTATGTTTGTAATGGGTAATTTGGGTATTAAATGGTGTAATGTATATGGTTTTTAGGTAATTGGGGTATATTTTATATTAGTATGTGTTTGTATGTAATTGGGTTTTTATGTGGTGAATTTGTATGGTTGGTGTTGTAATTGGTTTATGTTTAATTTATTGTGGTGGTGTGGATGTGATAATGGTTGGAAGGTGGTTGGGATATTTAATTTTGGATATGGGGTTTGGTTTTAGTAGGTGGTGGGGGGGTGGTTTATTGGGAGTGGGTTTTGATATTGAGGGTATGAGGTATGGAGTTTTTGGGTGTTGATTGGTGGTTTAGGTTGATTTTTTATGGGGGGAGGTAAGATAGAGTATGTGTATTGTATAAGAATTGTAGAGAGTTGGGTGGGGATTTGATTGTGGGTTAGAGTAATTATGATTATGGGGTTGTATGGTGTGGTAGTGTGTATAGGTTGTGAAATGGGTAGGTTTGGTTTTGTGTTGGTTATTGTGGTTAGATGTTTATGGGTGGGTGTTGGGGTATTTGGGGTGGGGTGGTTGGGGTGGGTGTGGGGGTTTGTGTTGTGGTGGGTGTTTGGGGGATGGGTGGTTTGTGTTTGGTTTGTGTGGGTTGTTGTTTTGTGGTGGGGGGTTTTTGTTTTGGGGTTTGTTGTGGGGGGGGTGGTGTGGTTTTGTTTGGTGTTGTTGATTTGTTGGTGTTGGTGGGGTTTGTTGGGGGTTGTTGTTTTTGTGTGGGGTGGTGGGTGGGTGGTGGGGGGGGTGTTTTGTTTGTGATGGGTTTGGGGTTGTGGGTGTTGTTTTGTGTGTTTTGTGGTTTTTGGGTTGTTTTTTTGTTGTTGGGTTGGTGGTGGTTTGGGTGGTTGGTGGGGGTTGTGTGTGGGTGGTTATTTGATTATTTTGTGGTTTTTTATGAGGTTGTTGTGGGTGGGTGTTGTTGTGTGGGGTTTGTTTGTGTTGGTGTTTTTTGTTGTGGGGAGGGGTGGGTGTGTGTGGTTAGTGAGTTATGTTTGTTGAGGTGTTTTTGTTGGTGTGGTTGTGTTTTTTGGTAATTGTTGTGGGTGTTTTTTGTTGGTGGTTAATTGATTTGGTTATGTTTATTTTGGGGTTTTTATTTTTGTTGTTTGGTGTTGATTGTGTTATAGGTTTGTTTATGTTATATTGGTGTATGTTTGGAGAAGTATTTGAGTGTTTGTAATGGGTGAGTGATGTAAGTTGTTATGGATAAAAGTTTGGGTTGTGTGTTTTGTGATTTGAGTTATAGGTTAATGTAGATTGATTTGTGTTGTGGTTTTTTTTATGAGATTGGTGTGATGTGAAGGGAGAGGGAGTTTGTGTGTAGAGAGAGTAAGAAGATTAGAGAGAGGAGAGAGTGAGAAGAGAGAATAGTAGATAGAGAGTTAAGTTTTGAAGTAGTGTTAGATTGAAGAGAAGAAGAAGAAGAGAAGAGGAGAGTAGATATGAATGTTTATAAAGGTGAGAAGTAAGAAGAAGTGGTAAGGGTGTAGTGATTTGAGTGAGAGAGTTTTGAGAATGTGAGTGATGGAAAGAAGGGAAGATTAGAGAGTGTGTTGTAGTGTGTGTGTGTTTTGTGTGTTTTTTGGTT